AAATGAACCTGCTTCTTAGGCCATTGCTCACAAGTCTGTTTCCTCTTGTCTCCCTCCTGTACTTTTGTGCACCCTCCAAAGTTCATGTTCCACTTGCTCCACAGTTGTTCCTGACCACCCAGTCTCTGTTCTTTCTCTGTGGTACTGGGTATTAAACTCAGGGACATTCTACCACTAAGCCACATTTCCAGCACTTTTTATTATTATTTTTTTTATTTTTATTTTGAGACAGGGTCTTGCTAAATTGCTGAGGGCCTCACTAAATTGCTGAGACTGGCCTTGAACTTGTAATCCTCCCACCTCAGCCTCCTGAGTAGCTGGGATTGTAGACATGTGCCACTATGCCTGGCAACCCAGCTCATTCTATGGCATCTGCCCAAACACTTGCTTCTCAAAGCATGGTCTATAAGCCAGCAGCATCAACACCAGCAGGGTGCTTGACAGAAGTGGAGACTCTCAGGCCTCACCCAGACTTACTGAATCAGAACCTACATTTTTAACAAGAATTAAGGGGATTTGCATGGACACTGAAGTGTTTGAAGGGTTCTTTCCTCAGTACCTCCTCCTACCCCCACAAAACAAAATAAAAAAACGTGTGAGAAGCTCTGGCCTCTACCTCTCCTCGGCTGAGCCCTGGTTTCTTTTCACTTTTATACATGGAGATGAGGATAGATATGACTGTAATCATCCCTTCCAGTCACTCACTTCACAGCCAAATGTCTTCCTCAGAAGCAGAGGTAGAACCAACTTCAAGTACCTGCTGGTGATACCTTGCCAAACTTCTACAGTTCTGTCCCAGAAAACTGGGAGAGACTCTGACCATCAGTATATACCTGCAGGATTGGGCCACCCTGATGACCAATCCTATTTAAGGACCAAGTAAACATTAGGATATTAGCACTACTGAGGGGAGACAACTGTGCGCATTAAGGCATAATCCCCAAATTGTGCCCCTGATACCACCTGAGCTTCTTCCCAGTCCCCTCCGTAAATACCCCAAGCCAATACCTGCCCTGAAGAACCAAAGTTTGAACTGGGCCCGGAACCAAATCTAATTATACTGGAATGGTTCCCAAGTGAGACAGTACATTGTGAGGCACTCATGGCTTTTTTGTTTGTTTGTTTGGTACCAGGCAGGGATTGAACCCAGGGGTGCTTAACCACTGAGCCACATCCCCAGCCCTTTTTATTTTAAGACAGGGACTCACTGATTCCTGGGAAAGCTGGGAATGGAACCACCATTTGACCCAGCTATTGCCCTTCTCGGACTATTCCCTGAAGACCTTAAAAGAGCA